GAATATGAAATAGAAAAAAATTTGCGCGCTTGCTTATCCTTTCCGGACAAGCGGAAAATATCAGCATGGCCGAAAGGCCTGGTCGAAGAAATGAATATCCAAGAGATGGGGCAGGCGATATTTGTGGCTAGATGGCGAGTAGAGCCCATAATTTCATATTTGAACATCACAGTACTGCGTTCATTTTTCAAAATAAAATGCACGAATAAAAAAGGTGATCCCGGTTCACAGCCACACGATAGATCCGTTGAATTTTTTTGCAATTAATGTCTCTACAGAAGTCTGAGGGAGACCTACAAATCCAAAAGACATTTGCCTTGTTTGTCTCCATCAGAGCATCATAGAATAATTTCAATTTCGATTTCAATTTTTTCGCCCTCGTAAAAACAAGTGCTTTCGATATCGTTTGGAGCTTAATATACAGAGTGGTTCTCTCTAAACCTGAGCATTACATGAACGGTAAAAAAAATTTTAAAATTCTCAGCTAGACCGCAGTTCCAGTACATGCTTTCACATCTGCTACGCGACTGGCATCTGAGAAAAGAGCATCAGTTCAGAATCAAAGATACAAATAAAACCTTCTCTTGCATTGAAAGTTGGCGTTCCTATGGCAAGTCTAATATTCATACCATCTGTTGTGTTACTTCATCGTGACATTTCTAGATATATCCGGTCTCTAACTTCAAAATTTGAATTTGTTAAATTTACGTTGACATTGTCTAATGAAATTTAATTAGCACGCAGGTAAGCAAATATGGTGGAAATATAAGATGAAATTGTGCATAGGAAGTACTACAATAAGCATATCACAAAAAAATATTGTACAAATAGAGGATGTTCGACAGAACAGAGAGATAGATCCAATATAGTGCCGGAGTTTACTCAATTTTGGCTAAAAATGAAAAACTGTTGACGGCACAGTAGTGTAGCAAAAGCCATGCACAGAATAGTGGCACCTGAAAGAGGCCTAATCTCAGAATCGAGGTTATTTCGTCTATATCACACATTGAGTGTGCTTGAGGACGGCCATATGCCATCTGTTTCAATCTCCTTATACTCCTCGTACGTGTTGTGGATCACAATCATGTATAGATGTGGATCTTAGACCTCAGGAACCTCTTGAGCTGCTTGACGAGAATATGAAGAAAAATATAGTAGAAGAAAATAAGAACATGTTAAAATCTGGATACTTGTCTGAAGGAAGTGTATGCAAACAACAGAAATGTTCTCTTCGCATGGCCTCATATCCGGTCAGCGCTTCTTTGCTTATTGCCAGGTAGGGCGCCATAAGATTTGAGCACTGCCAGTTTGCTTCATCATGTCTACCGGCTCACACCTGTAGTTACTTTGCTGTTGCTATGAGTACCTCAACGGGACTAGATGCCATCCAGAATTACAAAATATGGGCCGGTAAAAAATGAACCGCTGTGCTTCACAATTTCTACATCTGGCTTTAAGTCTGAAATTCATAAACCAGGGTACCCAGTATTTTTCACCTCCTTCAAGCTTGATCTATGCATGAAAAAGTCCTTCTGACTGAAAACCCAGAAGCGACGAATACAAATCGACTTTTTAATCTGAAGAGAATGCATGTCGAAATCTTTCGACTACACCACGTTCTCATTAAGAAAAGGATGTATACTTATATATCAGAAATGCGAATGATTCAGACAACGCTGGATGAGAGGAGAAAGCAAAAATACGAGGAAAAAGCAGCGCACGTTTTCAACTTTTGATATGATGTCACCATCCATAGTAAACGTTCAGCATTTATCATTATTTGAAGATTTTAATATGTAAATTAATTGATTAAATTAAATCTGTGACGTCCCCGAGTGTAGCTGCTGTGGGCATCATCTCACCAGAAAACTAAATTGAAAATTTTGAGTTCACTGGCTGCCACGTATAATTATATTTCAGTATTCGCTTTGGAACTGGAAACTTGGAAAACTGAATCTGCCCTTCTGTAACTATCTTTGAGTGCTGTAATCTTTGGCCACAGGTGAACGAACAGGCGACCCAAATTTCTTCGCAAACACCCTGACCATAAGCACCACGGCGGTGCTAAGATTCACCGTCAAACCGCAACAGTGGGTCGGAACAACGGCATTTTCGGCATTCGTTAAAGTAACTCTCAGCAGCGGTCAACTCACGAGTTCCCATGTTCGAACAACGAGGAGTTATTACTTTCACCGCGTGAGGTTGTCATGGACTCTTCGAAAGGACGCATTGTCCTACGTCATAAAACGCTGGCATTCTTTAAACATGACAGCATTTAATGTTTTCACGTTTTCAGACTCACATGCGGTCGAAAGTGCCCCCTGCCACAAAGCTGTAAACAGAAAGTTTCTTTTATTCCCAAGAGCAGTCGTTCTGGCGTTTCAATGAGACCACCGCTCTAAAAAGAGGATAACGGCGGGCAAAAAAG